AGGGTACTGGCAATCAGGGAGCTCAGAAAAGACTTCATGTAGAAGTTGGCACTTAAACTAAACCTTAGAGGAACCCAGGGATTCCAAGAGGCTGAGGTGAGGAGGGAGTGCATTCCAGGCATACAAGATAGCCAATACAAAGGCACAGAGGTAGGAAATGGTGCTACATGTGTGCAGAAGAGTAAGCCAGTACAGTTAGATCACAGAATATTGGGCAGAAGGTAATATGTAAGAAAATGGAAAAGCACAAAAGGGACAGATTATGAAGAGCTTTAAATGCAAAATAGAAGAGTTTGTATTTCATCCAAGAAACAACAAAGAGTCACTCGAGGGGGATGGGGAGAGGCACAGTGCAAAGCTGACTTGAGATATGGCCTTTAGGAAGGTTATTTTGGCAGTTGTGCTATGGAAAACGAATTACAGAAGGGAGAGGTGATAGGGGAAAAACTAGAAACAATGGGTAGAAGTTGTAAGAAGAAAATTTAGTTTTGATATAAGGAAAAAATGTCTAATAATAAGAGCTACAGAAAAATGGGATGCTTAGCCTGAAAAAGTAGGTTCCCCTATACTGGAGATCTTCATGCAAAGGCTGAATGATCACTTGGTGGGTATGTTGTAAAGAATACTCTTCTCTTTATTAGTTGTGTGACCCTCGGCAAGTCATTTAACTGACTGCCTCTAAAAAAAAAAAAAAAAAGAATATTCTTCTCCAGGTATTCTGTGGACTATTTAGAGACCGAAATCCTTTTTAACTCTGAATATTTTTGTGACTATTGGATGATTTTAACTTATTCACTGTTTTCAGTCTAGGAGCTATAAGAATTCAATAAAAAGGAATAAAGGAACACATATACTCAACTTTATTTAAAAATTTAGATTAAGTAGTTATTCTTGCATACTCCAGGTCATTCATTGTTTTATTTCAAATAGTGGTTTAAGCCTTTCTATGTGGGAGGGCAAATTAGGAGGAAAAATATTAAAGCTATGTAATAAGCTAAATTGCTCAAGAAACCAGAAGAAGGCAAGGCATTGTGGCACACATTTGTAACCCCTGCTACTGGGAAGGATAAGGCTGGTGAATTAATTGAGCTCAGGGGTTCTGAGCTATAATAAGCTATGCCAGTTGGGTGTCTGCACTAAATTTGGTACCTAAGTAGGGGTGAACGAGCCAAACTCAGAAACAGAGAAGGCCAAAGCTCGTATGTCAATCATTATTAGGATTGGACCTTTTAGAGGCCTCCACACTTCCAGCCTGAGCAAGATAGGGAGTCTCAATCTCAAAAAACAAAGAAAGAAAAGAAAGAAAAAGAAACTGAAGGTAACTGATTATAGTACTGGATTGGTTGGATTAGAGACAAAGTTAATGTAATGCTCTTTTTCGGAAATATTTCAGGGGAATTTGCTGGGTAACATACCAAAGAGTGCTTAACTGATGTGTTTTACTGACTGGCAAGTATTCCTTGAATTAACTTAGCACTACTCCTTCTTTTAATGCTGCCCAGAAAATAAAGCATGTCACAGTACCAAAATATAGCTGGGTGGTTTTGAAAATATGGCACCCTCACTTGATGTTAGCACAATCAAGTGATGTGCTTGGAATAATTTTTTGTACGAATGTATTTGTTCCATGGCTTTTTCAATTTAAAAAAAGTTCTTTTGGAAATCTGTCTGACAAGGAAATGAAAGATTAGCATCTTGCAAATGCAAGGCGCTTAATAAATGCTTTTTTGAATTAACTTAACACCAGAGAATCCTTACCACTGGTTCAATATAAGGAATGTAAAAGAACAAAGACAAGTTGATGCTTCATTAACAGAAGAAAAAAAATACAAGCCCAATTTTGCTTGAGTTTACTGCACTAGCAAACACATTGGTACACTTAAAAAAAAAATCCTCCCTGAAAATTTAGGTTGAAAAATCAGAGTTCATCCAGCAGGCTTTTACAATAGACATACAAGAAATATCAAATGGTGTGTGGCTATGTCTCAGTCAAGTTAGAAAGAGGATCAACCAAAACAATTCTTTAAACTGGTGGGAAAATGTCTGTCTTGGGACAAACTAAGTGTGTTGGGACAAATGTTTGCTTTTAATTATTTCATTGGTTTTCTCCATCTAAGTGGCAAATCCTGATGTGCCTCATCAACCTGTGGAATTAATAACTAACATACAACTTGCAGGGTAGCTGTGACACATCTGATTTAAGGAAAAAGAAGACACGTAAATAGGGGAAAATATGAAATGAAAAGTCTATAGCAGAATAAAAGAAAAACTGTCCATAAGTATGCTTTGCCACTTTAAAAAGTTGTAGGTCAGTCCTCAGTTCAACTTAACACCATACTGAATTCTCACTTGGCATGTCTAACCCACTGTACTAGGTTCTGTGAATACAAAGTCAAAAAAAACATTATAGACCTCAAATAGTTCATACAGTACATTCTATAGTAGCCAACTCAATGCTTTTTGAGCACTGAATCTTGCTGCGGTCAGAATCTGTCTGTTTACTAACACCAATTTCCTTTTTAAAGTATAAAAAACTTCCTAGATAATACAGAAGCCCTAATATCCTAATAGTAACCACTAGCACTGATACAGCACTTTCGTCTGCAAAGCAATTTCCATATCTCATGTGATCCTGACAACAATTCTGTTAGAGAGGTGCTACCATTATTTCCATTTTACAGATGAGAAAACTAAAGCTGAAAGCACTTACATCATTTACCCAAGGTCATACAGCTACTCTGAGACAGGACTTGAACTCAGATCCTCCAAGGTCCAAGTCTGACACTTTACCACCCATTAGGCAGTTGCCCTATGGTTTCGATTTGTTTTTTATCGTAACCAGAGGGATATTGTTTTACGGAAAGATGTTTCAGGAACAGATAATTTCCAAACAAAAACACTGGCTGAAATTACCAAAAGGAATTAAAGATTCCCAAATAAATGATCAGCTGTGAAGTCTACAATCATCTTCTGGCTATGGAATTCCAACCTCTTTGGTTTTGTTTTGGTTTGGTTTTTTTTTTTCGGGGGGGGGGGGGGGGAGAAGGCTACATATCATGTACTTGCCAGACTTAAAATTTGAAAAATGTCATCATGATTGCTAAGAAATTCTAAAGCTATTTAACAGTCTAGAGCTTCAGGGCCAACAACCTTACCTTATTAACATTGAAGCAGGAGCTACAATCTGTACTAAAGTTACATTAGTAGTTTCATTGACAGCTGTTGTATTGATGACAAAAAATTTTACAGTCGGATTCGGTGCTCCTGCCTAGGGGAAGTAACACACATACATAAAAATACATAAATACACACAAATACGTAAAAGTGGTATTTTGTGAATACACAGCATTTTTCCATAAACTAAATATATTGAAATTGATGTTCTTTGTCTCTAAATTAATTATCACACACTGAGAAATCAAATATTTCCTTTATGCAGACCAAGACAAATCACTTAAGGACAACTCTTTCATCTGCGTCTTCTGATATTCATGTAGATGAACATGTTTCATGATTTTTTTTTTTCAGCTCATTAAGAAGTGTTATTTGTAAAGATAAAGTGGTCCTTAACATAGGATCACACGACTAAGTTTCCTTAGCCCATCCAAATATAATTCTTGCACAATTTGACTCCAATTCCAAGGATTTCTCACATTTAGTCTGAATCCTATGATTGATTCCGATTAATTAAACAATTGACTAATCAATTAACTGAACATCTTATCACTTATTTTTACTGGGTTGGATGATTTGATCGATGTCTGTGAGAGTAAGCGTTGGGTCAAGATCCATTCCCCACCACCACTACACCGCCCCCCCCCAGTTTACATGGCCTATATATGCAGGGAATAGATTGTTGAATTGACTTTGGTTATTGACAAATACACTGTGATCCCCATATATCAGAGGTTATGAATGGTTAGCCACTCTGAAGCACATACTGCATTGCCAGAAGACTTAGTAACCAGCTATGAAATCCTAGACAAAGAGCTAGGAGAGACTGGGAGAGTCATCTAGACCAACCTTCTCATTTTATAAATGAGAAAACTTGAGTAGAGAAGTTTAAGTGACTTTCCCAAGGTCACACAAGTCATAAATGACCGAGTCAAGATTTGAATTCTGGTCCCCCAGTGCCAAAACCAGTATTCTTTCTAAACCACCTGGAAAACTTCTGAAGAGAAGAATAAGCTTTTGTCTATAATGAACCAGACTTAGAGTCAATAATTTGGTGTTGAAATAACATAAATATATTTAAGGCCACAACTTCTCAACAGAAATACATATCTACCATGGTAGAATTCTAAAGTAGTCTTAAGTAAGAAATCTGGATGAATTTTGACCTTCCATTTCCTGTCTTATGTGCCTTGGTCTAGGCTGTCAGTCTCCTTTCCTTACAATACATTCACTTCCCTCTCACCTCTGACTCTCAGAATCCCAATCTTCCTTGAAGACTGGGTTTATGTCCTTCCTAGACTAAGTTCTGCCTCATTCCTTTCCCAGTACTTACTGCTCCCTCACTCTTCAAAATGACTTATAGTTACTTATCTGTGTATCCCACCCCCACCCTCAAGGAGAAATAAAAGTTAACATTTAAATAGGGTTTTATGTCAAGGGATGAACTTAGACTCCAATTACCCGTGATTTTAAGAAACAACAGTCTTTAAAATATTATTTTGTAGGGTAGATGCAATTAAAAGCTACACTGTTGACTCTTCCACGCTTTCTCAGTCATATATTGGAAGTACCCTCTGTAGCAGCAGCCTCTTCCTCTGACTGATTTCCAAGAGCCTCCATTTTAAAATATACCCAGGCCAGCCATGTCTTCTTTCTTCTTCAGGCTACACTCCTGCCTTTCCTGGACTTTCTTTGTGATGCTCCCCCACTGGGTACCTTTATCTCCCTTCACCTCTTCTCACCTTTTTTTTAATGTGTTTACTTCCCCCATTAAAATGTAAGGTAGTATATAGTACATATTATTATATATTTTATACATATATGTGTGTGTATATATATGTATATATGTGTGTGTGTGTGTGTGTGTATATATATATATATATATATATATATATATAAAAATATAGTAGCCACTTGATAAATGTTTACTGAATTGAATTGTATTACCAGCATCTGGTATGTAGTAAGAGCTTAATAAATGTTTGTTGACTTTTGGCTATAGCTGATAAATCACTTTCCATACAGTATTTACCTCATTTGCTCCTCACAATAATGTTTTGAAGTAAGGCCTATTATTGCATCCATTATACAGATGAAGAAACTGAGGTTAAGGGTAAATACTTGCCTGGACCAGTACTGAACTCAAACCTTTCTTGGTCCTATGTTCCTTCCTTATACCATCTTCTTCTCTTAGCTAAGCTCCCTCAGGGAAGGGATTACTTCTTTTTTGACTCTGTATTCCTAACAACTAGTGCAACACTTTGCATGTAGTTGGTGATTAATAAGTGTCTGTTTAATGTTTGAACAATTTATTTGAGAGGCTCTCAGGTGTACTAGATAGAGAAATGAACTTTGCATCCCACTTCTGCCTCTAATTATGCGAGTGACCTTGGACAAACCACTTCATTTGTAAAGTGACAGGTTTATTCTAACTCGCTTCTAAGGGTCCTCTTAGGTCCCCAAGAATCTTTACGAATATAAACATAGAGTATGCAACTCATTTTTTTTTTTTCTTGGAGGCAATCGAGGTTTAAGTGATTTGCCCACGGTCACACTGCTATTAAGTGGTCGAATTTGAACTCAGGTCCTCCTGATTCTAGGGCCAGAGCTCTATTCACTGTGCCGCCTAGCTGCCCTGCAACTAATTCTTAAAAACAAACAAAAAACTTCCTCAAAGACCTAGTAGGAACATCTTTCTGAACTTGACATACTAAGCTCCTACAAAGACAAATGTTCCATGCCTAGGATAAACTCAATCTACAAAGTAATATACATCACTCCCATTGTTCAATTTTGACCATTACAACTACCATTTCCTTCATTTGAAACCATCTGACTTCATTACCTACTCCTCTTTTGCTTTTAGAGATGTCTCATTCAAACATTTCCATTTTCCCCTGTCTCTCTTTCAAAAGCAGTTTCCAATCTTTTTCTGCTTGTCATTCCTCAAAGTTTTTGGAGAAATTACAAAACCTTAAATCACACTCTTTCCTGGGATAATAAAAATACTTTAAAATTGCCAGATGCTGTTGACTTCAGCAAGAGTAATCACAGCAAGCTGTTGAAGAGAGACTGACAATATTTTCATTAGCAGGAATGGATTAAAGGAAACCATTCTCTTTTAATTAAATTACCGAAACACTATATGGAATAGAACACAGACCTTTGGATATGGAAGCTGAATAGTCTTCGGGTACTGAAATGATTCATCAGAATAGAAGGAGTATTGCATGATAGGAACTTTTGTATCATTAAATTGGGCATATGCTAGAAAAGTGCCGTCTGGAGACCACCACAGAGCGGAGTAATCACTAAAGACTTCCTCTGGGGGAAAAAAAAAGATATAAATTCTTCAGTTACAAGAAATATCTGATAAATTGGCTTTGGCATCCCAAATATTGTTCTCATTAGCTTAAGTAATTATAGTAGAGTTCAACTAAATGGACCACTTTACATTTTCTGGGCTTCCAAAACCAAAGTAATACACATAAATAAATGTAAGTTATAGTTTCTGAATTTGGATTTCTAAATAGAATAATGCTATTTTATTCCACTGTTATATGTTCTGTCACCATTGCAAAGTAAATCATCCACCCTCAATTTTTGCATTTTAGCATCCCCTACATTTTAATACTTAGGAGGATACTAAAAACCAACTAAATCAGCTACAGAACAATCTCCCGGATCCTCTACTCTAATTTTAAAACGTCCATTGGGTCAAAACAACCTCTCTTACCAATCCATCCTCGCCCCTCCCCTCCCACCAGGATTCTCAGTACCGTACCCCCACAGGATACTGAAACAGTGGCAAAGGTAAAGGAGAAAAAGTAGAAGATACTCAATAAGCATAAACAATGCTTCTTCTGCCTAATTTGCCTCCTGTCAGACAAGGAAGAGGAAATGACCCCAGAATGTATGTCATATCATAAAGCACTATAACCCAAAATAATCTCCCCCATCCATAATAACAATATCTGGCATTTTATAAATATTATCTCATTTGATCCTCACAACAACCTTGGGAGGTAGGTACTATTACTATCCCCATTTTACAGATGAGGAAACTGAGGTAGACAAAGGTTATGTGACTTGCCTAGAGTCCCAGGACTAGTGTCTTGAGACTGGATTTGTCTTCCTGACTCCAACTTCAGTGCTCTATCCACTGAGCCACCTCCATGTTAGAGATTTTGCTGATATCAATGAATTCCTCTTTGGGAAATTAAATGTCCCTTAGAGAATGGGTTCTTAACCTTTTCTGTTTAATGGGCCCTTTTTGTAATATGGTGAATTCTATGGCCTTCTGAGAGTAACTTTTTTTTTAAAATGTATTTGTTGTTCAGTTATGTCCAATTCTTCGTAACCCCATCTGGAGTTTTCTTGGCAGAGATATTTCCTTCTCCAGCTCATTTTACAGATGAGGAAACTGAGTCAAACAGGGTTAAGTGACTTGCCCAGGGTCAGACAGCTAATAAGTGTCTGAGGCCAGATTTGAACTCAGGAAGATGAGTCTTCCAGAGTCCAGGACTAATATTCTTATCTACTGTGCCACCTAGCAGCCTCTTAAATGTATAAGTAAATGTGTAAGTACAGAGGATTGTAAAGCAAACCAATGATGTTGAAATAGTTATCAAAATACTAAGAAAACAAATTGATCTACCTCAGCTTAAGAACCCTTGCCTTAAAGGATCATTCATATATTATTGTGATTTCATTAAATCAGGACAATGCTAAATTGAGGTCAGCTTCAAGGAATCAGTTTGGATTTTGTGTGTATGTGGGGAGAGGAAACATAATTGATTAAATTGAGGGTTAAGAGGCCACAGGTGAAAGAGGAGGAATATTATTGATGGGGAAACTTCCAACTCTAACATTCAAGGGATCTTCTATTAATTGCTCTTTCTCCATCTTTAATATGAACATTTTCCTAGATTCAAAAGGACCTCATTCAGCCTCCCCAATGACAAAGCCTTCAGTACCAATCTGAATTGGAATGCTCTTGTGGATGGAAAGAAAATCTTATCTGATATTGTTAAGACTGTGAAGTCTCAGGAATAAATCCAGCTTCAGACACTTACTAGCCGTATGACCCTGGGCAAGTCACTTAACCCCACTGCCTCCCTTGTGCAAAAAAAAAAAAAAAATACTGTCAAGGCTCAGGAATAAATACAGGCCAAGCATGGTAGAATAGAAAGCATATTAGACCTAAAGGCAGCAGACCTGGGTTCAAATCATTGCTCTGATGGTTACCTGTGGCCAAGGGCAATGCCTCTCACTTTCCCTATCTGTAAAATGGGGAAAACAATACTTAACATTGTACCTTCTTCATAAAGTGACTATAAAGCAATTACTTCATAAATCTTAAAAGTTTTAAATAAATGTGTGAGTTGTCACTATAAATCAAAGTCTATGCTAATCAACTTGGAGTACAAGAAAGGTTCCCAAATCATTTTCTTATAAGGTACCCTTTCCAATCAATGTGTTTATAAAGTTCTTTAATTGCTAAGGTTTCAGAATTTAGACCGTATTTTCCTATGTTATGGATGATTAGATTCCCAGGCCAATTCACAATTGGCTAACTAATAGGCGTATAGTCTGAGTTCTATGATTCACAATCAGGGGCTACGTAGTGTAGGAGGAATCAGGGAAGATGAAGAGAGAGGAAGGCAAAAGATGAGGAAGAAGAGAAGGTGGAGTCTGAGGAGGAAGAAAAGGAGGAGAATGTGAAAGGAGAAGAGGAGAAAGAGGAGAAGGAGCATCCAAGTTGCAAGGAGCAGGGCCTTTCTTTTCTTTGTAATCCCAGTTGCCTAGCAGATTTTCTGCATAGACCAGGTAATTAAAATGTTTCATTGAATTGAATTGAATTTAAAAGGACCCAAGAGGAAGAAAAGAGAAGATGAAGATAAGAATAAAGGGTTTCAATGAAAGAAATTTCCAAATCTATTTATCTCCTTTCTCCCTTCCCAAATCAAAATTCCTTTTCTTCCGATCATAATTTCCAGAGCTAAAAGAACCTTTATTGACGATATAATTGAACTGCAATATTTTACAAGTGAGAAGCCTTGCCTGAAAGGTTTAGTGATTTGTCCACAACGTCACATTCTTTGATTTCACAACCAATGCCATTTCCAGTACCATTTCTTCTAATAAGTTAACAAAAGACAATGCTTGTAAAATCAAATGAATCTCTCATTGGTAGGTTTTTTGGAAATGTAACAAAGTGTGGGAAATCTTTCAGTGTCCTGAAAGATTTCTGGAAAGAAGACATCAACCTCCAACCTACCTGAGGGCTGACCCTTTCAGGTCAAGTCCCCTAGATATTTTTTTCACAGCCTCTCCCCTTTCTCCCCATTTCTATACCCACAAAGTCTCTGAAAGCTCTATGGTTTGTTCGTTCTGGTTCTTACATCAGTGAAGGCAGAGGTATCTGCAGTTCAGTGCAAAGTCTGTCCAGATGGATAACCAAAATGACACGGTGCAGTGGAGCTGTAACAGTGTCTATGGAATCATAATTATCTATCCAGCAATTCTATTATACGTGTAGTTACTGCATTAGAAAATACACCCAGGCCCATTAAAACATGCATTTGCAAGTAACTGATTCTTAGATCAGATACAGGCAGAGCTTAAAGCTTAAAGCTCTGATCTAGGTAAGGAAAGTAAACAAATATCATTTACAACAATCAGATGACCCGGGAATATAATCAAGAATCTTAGAAACTAAGCCTCAGGGTCACAGTTCTACTGTGTGATCTCACTTCACTTCTCAAGGCCTCTGACTCCGCTCCAAATGAGAGATAGGACTGAACTAAATTATCGCCATAAAGTCCTTTCCAACTTTACCTCTTCATGAGGAACAATTGCTTTGTTCCAACATTTCTTTGGCTTTTAAAGAACACTAGATTCAAGCAGTTGAAAGGTGGGGAGTTTTGCTCTTTATAAAAATGGTTCATTTGTGAACAAATAATAGTAATTAGGTTGGATCTCTTTAATCAGAACAACCTTCAGGGAATTCAGGAACTTTCTCAAAATCCCTGTTAGTCTGGCAACTACAAAACAGCCTACTATACATTTGATCAACACATTCACTGTGCATGAAACACCCAAACATCACTTTCAAAAGCTGTTGATACTAATGACCTCCACATTTTAACAAATGTTATCTCTAATCATTTTCCCCACTTTTAAAAGCAGGAAACCAAGTTTTTTCTAAGAGCAAATGGGCACAAATACTCTGGAAAACTGGCTTTCTCTCCCCAGTGTCCCCACCCCCTAGGTTTTATTCTGTCTCTGTGTGGAATGTTGTGATATTGTTTTTCTTTCCTTATCGACTAATGTTACTAAGATAGATCTCGCTGGAAAATATTTGACTTGAATCTGTTCACTCATCGGTCTCCAAGGCCTGGGAAGTTACCTAAACCTAAGTCTGTGGCCACAGCCCTAAAAGTGTATTGCAAATCCCTGTGGTCTAGTAATTTATAAGACAGGCTAGTGTAAAGTATTTCTTTAGCTTATAAACTCACATATTTTGTGTATTCTAAAACAGGCTGTGATGGCTTATATTTTACACATTTACTTTCAAAATCATGTAAGAAAATCTATCACTTTTAACTAAACATTCACATTTTCTGGTTTTAAAAAGTTTTTTTTAACACTGTACCTTCATAAACCCAGTCAGTTATTCCATTAAATATTACATTTTCTTTTCCATCATAAGTGATCCTCAAACTTGGCAAATGTGGTTCATTTTTTATATAAATATCATTATTCCAAACATATACCTATAAGGAAACAATAAGAACAATGCATTAGCACACCTTCTAACACAGCTATTTAAATTAAAATTATATTTTCAAAACAGTGGGAAATAAATATAATATATAGAAAAAAATAAAACTTAGGTTAGTTAGACCCAAGTATAGGCCGGATGAACAAGGATTGTTTCATTTTTTTGTAAATATATCCTCAGCACCTACCACAGTGCCTGGCACACAGTAGGCACTTAATAAATACAGTGTTGATTGCTTCATTGATGAAGTATCCTTATATTCTATAGTATAGTAGCCTCAAAGCTTCGTAGTTTTCCATTAGTCATAGCATGGATGTGTGATGTGAAAGTATCAACATCATCAAATACTTTTTATTTGAGTTTTGTGGTCTTAAGTTTTTTATTTATATATAATTATGCAATTTTGTTTACTGTTGGGAAATAGGGCAAAGGTCACCAGCTTCACCAAATTCATCTATCCCTTTTCAATCCTCCCAAGCTGATTTGCATGACAACCAGGGATATTATTGGCATGGGAAAAAAAAGCTCCTTTTTTGCTGGATGTTCATCCATTGAGGGTGGATGTGCCTGGAAACTCCATCTTAGTCCTGGGCTTTCTTCTCTCCTCTGTATTCTTTCCCTTGGTGATCTCATTAGCTCTCTAGTTTACGTACCACTTCAATTTTTACCTATACACAAGCAATTCCAAAGTATTTCAGTCAAATCCCAATCTCTCTTTTCAATTCCAACTGCCTACTGGACATTTCAAACTGGATGTTCCAAAGGCATCTCAAACCCAACCCATCCAAAAAGGAACTCCTGATATCTTTCCGAAAATCCATCCTTTCTCAAAACTACTCCATTTCTGTTTATGGCACTAGCATCCATTTGGTCACCCACATTTCCACCCTTCAAGTCTTCCTTGACTCATTCTTCTCTCTCTACCACCAATATATAATGAACTGATCCAAATTCCACAACTTCTCTCACACACCCTTCTCTTTACTCAAGGCCTTTTCACTTGGCCTATAGAAAGAACCTTGAAATTGGTGCCCCAACCTCTATTTTCTGGACTTTCTACTCCATTTTGCACTCTTTTTCATTTGCTATGAAATTAATATTCCTAAAACCTATCTATATATTACACTCTTGTGCTCAAAAACCTTCAATGATTCACTATTAACCTCTACAATAAAATACAAAATCCTCCCTCTACTCTCTCACAACCCAACCCCCAGATACATTGCCAATCTTATTTCCTATTCTTCACACATTCCCCAACCCAGGAAAACTAGCCTAGGAGATCTTCCTCCTCCAAACCATTCCTTCTTTACCCATGACTTTGCACAAGTAGATTCACAGGCTTAGAATTCACTCTCTTCACACCTCCACCTTTGAGGGCAGGGACTTCCATTTTGTCTTTACATTCTCAATTCCTAATAGACTATTAACAAATATTTGTGGAATTGAATCAAATTTAATTTTTTCTTAATTTATTTTAGTTGTGCAAAGGCCATTTGTTTCCACATACTGAAAAGTAGCCTAATTTGTCATGTATAATATTCTTAGAGTTGTCACAGCTGGTCACAAATTTAAAATCACATTTTCCTCTTATTTTTTAATTGTATGATATTTTTCTATTTAGTTCATTTGTAATTCATTACAGTATGTAGTGTCAGAAGTAAGTCAAAAACTATTTCTCCAATTGCTCTCCAGTGTTCCCAGCAGTACTTGATAGATCTTTTTTTCATTAAATTTTTTTTATTTCAATTTTGCTGATCTCACCTTTAATTTTCAAAAGCTCCTCTTTACTGTTTGTTTTGGAATTATTAACTTACTGGTTGTATTTTTTTTTAAGTTGCATATTCAATTCTTTAATACTTTTTCTTTCTTGTCTACTAATTCTAGAGCTCAAGGATATAAAATTTCCTTTAAGTGCATGCAATAATTTTAGTATATTATTTCATTATTATAATTCTCTTGAATATAATTGATTTTTTTTTAATCAGGAAGCCAATAGTCTGGCCATTTGACAAGGAATTATTTGGTAATGGCAGCTGTGAGGGGATAGGAACTAGACCTGTGATTTTAGAGGCCTATGGAGCCCCTGCAAAAGGAAACTCCCTCTATTAATGAAGATGAACACCTTCTGTAACTCATAGTCTGAGAGAGTTGCTCAAAGCACTGGTAATTAATCAGTTAAGGAACCTGCCCAAGGTCACACAGGCAGTTATGTTTCAGAGATGGTATCTGAAACCAGGCTTTCCTCCCTTCAAAGTCAGCTCATGCTGAAGTCTATTGAAAATGACCCTGAGTATTGGATGACCTTCTCTGTTTCTGCAGTGATGAGATAGGACAAGCTCTGGACATAGATGACCAAGGTTCAATTGTTATCTGGCAATTCCTATTTGATCTTGGGCAAATCACTTAACCTCTTAACCACTTAACCTTGTTCATAGCACAAGGTTCCTTGTTCCCCATCTGTAAAATGAATGGTACTGGAGTATCTTCCAAATCTAGAAATGTAATCCTGTGAGGAAGAACTTGGTTAAATGATCTAAAAGTAGAATACTGTCCCTGTCTATAACAATCACAACAGGACATTCAATGCATTCAACAAACATTTATTATATGCCACTCTGCTAGGTGCTAAAGGAGATACCAAGTTTAGATAATTCAATTCAATTAATATCCAGTGCCTACTCTGTGCGAGGCACTGTGCTAAGCACTGGAGAGACAAATAAGAAAAAGAAAGACAGTCTTTGGCCTCAAGAAGTTTATAATCTAATGGAGTAAAATAAGAAAGAAACTGGAAAGCAAGGGGGAAAGGGAACCAGGAGTACCCAGTGGAGTTGAAACCAGATAACACTTATTCCCTTCCCTAATATAAACAATAACTGTGACATACAATATTATATGATAAGAGCATCGAAGAGATCCTAAGTGCTACATAAGGTCCATGAGGCCAGTTAGGAGAATCAAGCTAAGCTTCATGATGATCATGATGATGATGACGATGACAGCTGACATTTATATAGCACTATGTGCCAGGCACAAAATGTTTACAATTATTATCTCATTTGATCCTCACATCAACCCTGGGGGGTAGGGTTATCATTCCCATTTTACAATTGGGGAATCCGAGGCTCACAGAGCTTAAGGGACTTTCCTAGGGTCATAGAGATAATGTCTAAGACCAGATTTGAACTTAGGTCTTCCTGACTCCAGGCCTGGTGTTCTACCCACTATACCACCAAGCTGCCTCATTGGGCATGCCTCATGCAGGAAGAAGCTTTTTGGTTAGTCCTTTAAGGACAAAACTTTAACAGGTATGAGCAGAAAGGACATTCTAGACATGTGGACAAAAGCACAGAAGTAAAAAAGCACTTAGTAGGCACCAAGTATGTTTGAGGTTGGGCAAACAGTCTAGTCTAAATGGAATTAAGATTATGTGGGAGTAATAAGAGATAAGGTTAGGTGTGGTGCCAGATTGGAGAAGGTCTGAATTCCAGTAAAAGGAGTTGGAACTTTTTATAGCAAAGAGAGTCACAGAAGATTTTTGAGCAAATGGAATTTCATGAATAGACCTACAGATCCCTAAGATTAGATTGGTAGCAACATGGAGAATGAAATGGAAGGGGGAGAAAAGAGAAGCAAGTTGCAGTAATCCAGGTGGGTGATATGTACTAAAGTGGTAGCAGTAGAAATAGAAAGCAGATATTGTGGAGGGAGAATTAAAAAACTTGGTGAAGGGAAGAGTCAAAAGCAACCCCAAGGTTATGAACATTGGCCAATGAAAGAACATCTGCATTTACTAACCAGTTTGTGACCAACTGGTGACCAGGAGATCTGCTGTATGACATCAGGAATTTTCTCATCTAAAACCAACTCTCTAGAAGAAAAATGAAACAGAAAATAAAACAATATTTATGATGCATTATAATCTCTTTTTTCCCTCTCCCAAAACCAGTATTCACCCCTGCTGGATTTTATATAAAAGTCACTGACCTCTTATTTAAATCATATATGTCATATGAAGCTGTGTAGGAATGCCTCCAAATCTGTAAAAGAAAATAGTTAAACTTTTTAATGACTTAATGACATTCTGCACATAAAAATCTTCTCACCTGTTCTTGGCAAGCTAGCTAAGTGGACAAGATAATAATTTATTGTTCCTATGTTTTATGTAAAGAAATTCCTATCCTAGAACTTCCTTATTGTCATTATTAAAATCATGTTTCATCTTTTTGTATCTGTTATGCTGGGAAGGAAAAAAATATGTATTAGTAGTTAAAAAAATCCTCTCTCCTAAATCCCTATCACAGTACCTCCAGGCTTTGTAAATATACATGAAGTTCAGTAGAATTTTAAAAAATAAAGCAAATAAAGCTGGCTAAGAATATTTTAATTTGTAAGTGAGACCTAGGAGTATGAAATATAAAAATAGTTTTTTCTATGATGATTTTTTAATTTAGCATTTATTGGCCATTTATTTGGCAAATTTGATTCTGCTCTGTTAATAGCCATGAGGTCCCTGAAGTGTTTACTTGATATTTTGTTCATTTGCAGGGAATGGAGATGCTTAATATGGACACAAGATGTTTCTGCTTACGACTCCCAGATGACAAGTCTGGTCTTTTCTGAGTCACAAATGAATAGCTTCTTTAAAAACTTCCCTGAATTTGTATAATAACAACAACAATAATAAATATCACATTTTTGTAGTTTTTTTATAGTTGTACGACACCTTACAAACATGAACCTTACAGAGTTTCAAAACAACTATTTATCTTACTCTGTCTGAACACAGTCCTGATTAGAGATGTCAAATTTCAGGAAATTTTGGGCCACTAGCTAGCTCATTGTCTTTTGGGGGGGGGGACTGGGGAGGGGCAGTTAATGAAAGGAAATTGAAAGTGGAAATTTTCAAAATTTTCAAATACAAATACATACAAAGCAAATACATTTGGTATTTTAACAAAGAACTATTCTCACGTTAATCTTTTTCATGGATTTCAAATTCCTACTTCAATTTTACGATGGCTGTCCCTCATGGCTAAAATGCACATCCTTCATACCCCAGCCTCTTAGAAATCCCTAAAAACTTAGCTCAAGCACTACTACCTACATTGAATCCTTTCCTCTTTTCCCTGTCAGAGCTCTCCTCCCATGGAAAATTACCTTGGATTTATTTTGTAAATATTTTGTCTGTGTGTGTATGTATATATTTCCTCCCCCAAATAAAATGTAAGCTGTCTTAAACACTTTCATTTCTGCCTCTATAACCTGAGCACCAGGCATATTAATGTTGTTGCTCAGTCATTTTCAGTCATGTCTAACTCTTCATGACCCCATCTGGGGGTTTCTTGGTAAAAATACTGGAGTGGTTTTGCCATTTCCTTCTCCAGGTCATTTTACAGATGAGGAAACTGGGGAAAACTGAGTTAAGTGACTTGCCCAGCATCAGACAGCTAGTAAGTATCTGAGGCTAGATGTGAACTCAAGAAGCTGAAGTCCAGGTCAGGCCCAGAAGAAGGAAGTTATATAGTGAGTAGTGATATGATAACCCTTTGTTGCTTTCCACACATACCCAATCTACTCAAGATTAAGAGGATCCTATTATTAATATTTCCTTCCTTTTCCTCCCTTGCTAGAGTTCTTAACTCTTTTGTGTGTCATAGAACCCTCTGAAGGATGATGAAGACTATACACCTTTCTCAGAATGTTTTAAATAGTATTACAAAGGAAACCAATTATAATGAAATAGTTAGCAAAATATTTTTGAAAACAAAGTTCATGGAACCCCATGTTAACAACTCATGCTTAATGATAGCCAGAAAGACAGTAAAATAGCCACCAATCACTAAGTTAAAAGTCAACAAAAGGAGGAACTAAAGCAAAATAGTATTAAAATCTTTGATTTTTTGAAAATAGCATCCCCTGGAAACAGTCAAGCACTTTGCTCTCTAAAATAAAACCCTTGCTTTTCCTTGTAAAGGGGCAAAGGCTAAACATCATTGTCTATGAAAGTATTTCTACCACATAGTTTTAGAAGTACTATTATATATGAATGTATGTATGTATGTATGTATATTACACACACACACAGAGGCATACATACATCTATGTGTATATACATACAAACATATATACATGTATAGGTATATTTGTTTATTAATTACAATGAGAGGCAGATAACATAAGAATACCTTATTTTTAATATTTGATTCAAAATTCAAAATAGTACATTTTATAATCCAAAATTATTTAAGTCAAAGGCGAGGAAGGGTCTAAATCCTTGGGGGAAAAGTGACAATGAAAATTTATTATGCCATATTTTTCCTTATTTTCTGTGCCTTTACATCTCTAGTAATGATGTAGATACTCCCATAAGTACAAGTAAGTGCCTATGAGCAGAATGAAGGCACATAAATATATTATCCCATGTGCACTGAAAACTATTTGAAAAATTAAATCCTCAAGGAAATGCTTTGTCAAATAATGGGAAATGATATTGAGACTAGAAAGAAAACAACAACTTCAATAACAAAAATGGGTACTTCTCAAACAGAAAGTATTAATAGTGATGTTGTCTAGAAATCTATTTTGGCACTGGTCTTACTCAACATAAAATTATTTTGAAGAGGAATTACACAGTAAAATCATTCATTTGTAGGTGACACTGAGCTTTTTCTCACTAATGAAATATTTAACCAGTGGGACTGACCTTGCAAAAAAAATTTCACAACCCCAATGAGTGGAAAGTAATGGAGAAGGTAAGCTCAAATGTGGTTTGCATTTAAAGTAATGCATTTAGAGGGAAAATCACGTGTATGTCTGTATACACATATACATATATTCATATATACAAATATTGTGTGTATTGCACGGGTAGATTATATATGTATACATGTACATAAATGCATATATACACACACACAGATAGATATACATACATATATATATATATACACATACATATATACATACACACACACACTTATGTATATATAATGGAATAAACCTGATTTTTAAGCCTGAAGAAACCTTAGAGTAAATCTAACAACTATGACCTTGGAAGGCTATCTAGGAATCATTTTTTTTTTTTTGGCAAGATCAGCCCCATTGGTTAAATATTTCACTACTGAGAAAAAGCTCAGTGTCCCCTACAAATGTTTGATACTACTGGGTCTCCTCTTCAAAATAATTAAAATATTATTATTTTAGTCTTAGATTGTAAGCTCCTTAAGGGAAGGGATTGTCTCTTGCCTCTTTTTGTATCCTCAGCCCTTCAGCACAGTGCCTAGTACATAGTAGGCACTTAATCACAGATGAACTTGTCTTTGAGAGTTAGTTGCCTGGAGTACTGAGAAGTTTAGTGACTTGCCAACAGCCAGACAGGGCTGTTGTATGTATGTCTCCCTTCTAACAGTATGTATCAGAGACAGGACTTCAAATCCAGGTAGTCCTGACTCCAAGGCCAGCTATCTATCCAATGAGTTGCATGGCCTCTATCCTAGGCTTACTATGAAGATCAAATATTTTTAATATCAACTTTAATATCAAATATGTTTGTTCTTATTCTCTGAATACATAAAGGCCTATGTTGCTTAAACTGTTTGAGAACAGGCACTGTTCAATTCATGCCTTTGTTCCCCCAGCACCTAGAATACTGCCTGGCTCATTATCTTTTGATTACCTGAAACACGGCATTGTACAGAGGCATGCACAATAGTAGCTACTCCTTAAGTATTTGAGTAACTGATTAAAGCAAGAAATATAACCTTGCCCCAGTATAAAACCACAATGCCACTAATATTACTCATCATTTCAATTATCACAAGAGAACTAAACCAAATGAAAGTAATTATAAAGAATGAGACCCAGAGAGATTTCCCTATGAAGACAGAATTTTAAGATTTGAACTCTTAAATCTGGAAATATGAAGAGGGGACAAGACCAAAGTTTATCAAATTGTGAAGGATATGAATAGAATGAATATAGAACTAATTATCAAATCCTAGGGCAAAAGATGTCTCTAATTAAGAAAACTTAGAAAAAAATAAAAGAAGTTGCTATTTTACACAGAAGTTAAGAAATCCACAGAACTCAGTTGTCATCATCAACATCATCAATACCCTCGCTATTACTAATAACAAGAACTATAATAATTTAGGCATATATAGAGGCGGCAACATGTCACCACCAATTGGTCTTTCCCTTTTCCTTAGAGGAAGTGAGGCACTTATATCCTGCAAGCAGCTAAGCATAAAAAAAACAAGACAATGGAAATAACCTTCTAAGTTTTTATAATAAACTCTTTTAACCAGCAAGGAGAGTTGGAGTCATCACAGTTGGACAACTACATCATAGTCTTGTATGTGTTTATAGAAATGGCACCAGGGAGAACAAAAGAAGGAAAAGCAACTGGATTAGAACAAGTGAGCTCAAGAGGAGATCTGTGTTAGAAGGCATGCAATTGTGAAAGCACTGAGGAAGTAATTCAGTTACCTAAAGGAGGGGAGGGTACCTGAGAAATCTCAAATCCTCTTCATACTTTTACATGAGCTGTCCCTCCTCCCTGTGATGCTCTCCCTTCTCCCCTCTGCTTCTTAACATCCCCACTTCAGGCCGCCTTTCTCCATCACTCACCCACCTACCCACTCTCTATGGTTATCTTCCTTCTAATCGGATCTCTTTGTATCTTCTATATACCTGCTTATTTATATGGTGTCTCCTCCATTAGTGTTTTAAGCTGAGGGCAGGGACTATTTTTGCATTTTTGTCTCTCTTTGTAACTCTAGCCTGCGCTATATTGTGAAAACGCTTGTTTTATTCCATGAATTAAAAATAAAATAAATGAAAAATAAATAAATTTATAATCCTAAAAAAGAGAGAGAAAATATGTATAAAACCCTTCACAAACCTTAAAGAGCTATGTAAATGCTAACTGATATTATTAATAAAAACAATTAAGTAAAAAAAAAATTTACTCTAGCCTGGTACATAAGAAATGCTTAATAATGCACGTTGGGTGATTGATGGATTGATTGAAACAAAA